GTCACAGACACAGCAGACCAATGGGTAGTAGAAGAGGAGGAGCCAGTGTTGCACAAGAGAGCGTTCTTTGAGGCTATCGGTGATGAAGATATTGAAGAAAGTGATGAGCAGCATGAAAGAGGAAGCAGCCAGCCAACGTATCCACAATATGTCGGTGATATTGCACCTAATGACGGAGAGTGAGAAGGGGGTCTAAGAGAAAATGAGAGAGATGATGATTATGAGGCCACCATATCCCAGCCATATTATTCACATATCGAGTCCCAACAGCAATAGTGTAGGGATGAGCACGACAGTGCAAGTGAGCATGAAGGATGGACAAGCTTCGGGGATTTTGGATTGGGAACACAACAAAACACTAGCACTCAGGGATTTGAGAATAGTCAGATGCCTGCTAATATCGATGATTCGTTTTTAGATCGAATCAATGAATTGTCAAACGAATTCAATCAATGGCACCAACGTGACCAAGAAGAACAACAACGTCGTCGATCATTTTATTTTAGATCGTATGTTACTAATTTTATGCTTAATTGTAATCCATGTATGTTGATATACTTATTCCATGATAATTCTATGTTTATCCTTGTGTGTGATGTAAATTAAATGCTGAATGGCGGTTCATGCAGGGAAAGAACATATCAATATTCGCATATTCATTCAAAAACATGAAAATTCTTAATGGAGTACCCTCATTTCTTATTGAATTCCTAAAAACAATATTTATAATGAATTTTAATAATTTTTTCGGATTTTTTTGAAGCTTTATTCTGACCGATTCACCCGATTCCCGATCCTGATCGCCGGTTCACCGATCAGGATCGGTTTCTTGAGTGCCCGATCCAAGTCACCGATCCGTTTTTTAAACCACTGATAGAAACTATTATGTGCATACATAACAATGTAAAATATAACAGACACATATGTAAATTTTCTTAAAACTTATATACTTTCCTGGATCGCCCCAGTCATTATGTGTAATTTTCCTAAAAACTTATATACTTTTCTCGTGGGTTAAGATCGCCCCAATTAGAATGTCACACCCATGTTTATGTTTAAAAAGTGAAGCAAAAACCGCATCGGCCAGGCAGTGTCGTGGATATTCGTGGGCCACTCGCCCAAATTGCGGGAGAATCCCCCACGTGGCAACGATGTGACTTGCGACCTGGAGAAATGAGCGACGAGGATATATTAGGCATCCAAAATGCCATGCCATTAACAAAAGAGACTGATTATTACAAGAATGCTTGCAAATGCAAGATCTCCATTAACTAATTTTTGTTTCAGTCTTTCATCCATGGCTGGATCTGTAAAAGGTCAGTGTTTTCTAAGATGTTGGCTTCACCCTTTCTTCAATATTGTCTTTCTAGGCTCCAGGGTTTACTGTAGTGAATATGATTCAAGCTTCTTTGTTTTCTTGGAATTTTACGAGTTTATGGTTATGTAGTATTTGGCATTGTTTAAATTGGACTCCTCGTAATGTAGACTATAATTTTAGAAGTTCCTTTCGAATAGATGTTGGATCATTCGCCTTGAAAATGGTATTGAAAGGGAAGCCACCCTGAATTTGGGAAGAAATTCAGTTGAGGAGCGAAGCCATCATAGTTCATTTATAGGATTGATCTTTCAAACTGGTTTGGAAGACGTTAAAGGGTTCTACCGTGTAGAACTTGCGGGTTCATCAAATGCTTATTGCAATTCTAGCCTCCATGATTTAAGGTTCGGATTTGCATTAATATTAACCTGATGATTAGGAAGATGAATGAGGTCAATGCTCTGTTTTCTGTTTATGGGATGTTTTCTGTTGGAAAATTTGGGAAGATAAGTATTTGGAGGTTGACTTTAAGGTATGAATATGGTCTAAAGGAGGGGGATGGAAGGCTAGGGTGAGGCATAAGGGGAATGGTTTGTTATTGTTTTTGTTGGGGATGAGTTCAAAGATGGGATTCAGTTTAAGGTAGGAGAAGTTAAGTAGAACTCATTTTTCATGGGGTTCTTAGGTTTGAAGAAGGGTTCTGGTGTGTTTTAAGATTATTGGGAATCTGTGTGCCACACTCGGACTTGGGCAAGGTGAGGCCGAGTTTCCCCCAATTGGGTGTACAACTTCGGGATATAAAGCAAGTTTAAAAAAAAATACTAGAAAAAAAGTTAAAAAATAGTGGATTGTTTTATAATCTACTTGTTTATGATATGAATGTATTTGGAAAGGATTGGTGAGTGTTTTCTTACCATAATCACTATTTTTATATTTGCCTCCTTGTTGGAATTTTTAGAAATGTCCCAAACTGTAAATCGGTTTTTTTCTGAATCTATATTTTCTATATTTTAAAGCTTGTTCGAAGTTTTTAAAGTTGTTTTTGCTTTCAATTTACTTTTAGTACAAGTTTTCTATTTCTTCTTTTTTATAATTTTCTATGTTTTTTAAATGTTTTTAGGGACCAAAGGCCCTGTGCTGGACTCGGCCGAGTTCTTAGTAACTCACTTCCGGCCAGGGGCCGAGTCAAGCCCGGGCACACTGTTGGGAATCTTTAATCTAGTGGCAAACGTAGAAGTGAAGCTTGGGCCTTGGTGCATTGTGAAAGGATGTTATGGTGTCCTAGATTTAGGTGGGTCTTAGGAGATAAATGATGTTTAAGGGATTGTATATGTATATTAAGGTTGTTCAATGGTATTTTTTCCCCTTTCTAACAAGCTGATAGGAAAGTTTGGGCTCCGGAGTCGGGGTCTTTTATTAAATTGTTTTATGTGTTTATTTGTGATTGGGAGTTGGTGGACATTTGAATGTAGAGATGTCACCTGCTTGTGAGCTTTGGGGCTGTAGAGATGTCACCTGCTTGTGAGCTTTGGGGCTTATCACAAGCAACTACAATTTCTTGAGTGAATGCGTGGATGTTGGTAGTTACTGAGGAGATTAATTCTAGTCTCATTTCTTTGATGCTTGTAATGAATGCATTTAGTAGTATGAGTATTGGGTGCTTCATATGGAAAGGGAAGCTTATTCCAGGAACGGAAGCTTCCTGGTATCGAGGTACAAAGTTGTAGACTTGCTGCCCTATTACAAGTTTGAAATTCAATTGAATGCCAGCTACTTTGGAGATGCAATTTTCTAGGATTTGGGGTTTAAGTAAGGATGAAATGGCAATCAAGAAGATGTTCATTGATTGATTGGTGTCATGGGATCCACAGACGTAGAAGATAAACCTCTTTTAGTGGGTGCAGGATATCTTGGAGACAGAGTCCCTTTTCTTGTACAAAGAGATTGATGAGGCAAATTTAAGAGGTACAACAACTTAGTGAGTAGAAAACAACCTCAAAGAGATTGTAGATAGAGAAAATTGGTGGGAGCCAAGCTCAACCAAAAGCTACAAGCAAGCTGATGTAATTTTTTAATGAAAGTTACATAATCTGAGTTCAAAATGGAACATCGTAACACTTTTATGCATGTTGTTTTTACAGTTTCAATGCTCCTTAAACGCTACCCAATTTCCTACCAAACAGACCTACAAGTTCCTAAATATATTCTGACTCCCAATTCTGGAAATTAACTTTCATTGGGACGCTCTTTCCCCATTGAAAGCTTATGGGAACGACTGAACTAGTAGTCCTATTTGGACTTTTGGTTCTCATGTTGAGCTGCATCATCCTTCCGGGATCGAGAGAACTCACCCCCGAGTTTGTATTCGAAAGACCATAATATTCGGTGAGATTTTACGCATTGAAGGTGGGGTGAGTACATATATGCGGTGGAAGTTCAATCTTGTAGGACTTATTGTCGATCTGCTCAGGTGGAAGTTCAATCTTGTTGGACTTATCATCGATCTGCTCAAGTTTGTGACATGGAGCAGCCTTCTTTTCTTTGAGCTTATGGTAGGCTCCTACTGGAAATCTTTCTATCTTTAGATATGCTCACACAAAGTCTCCTTTATTGAAGAACTTTTTGCGCAAATGGGTGTCAGCCATTTCTTTGTACTTTGCATTACTTGCTTCAAGCCTTTGGTGAACATCTTTATGGATTTTTATCATAGATTCAGCAAGGTCCTCCAGCGCTTTGTTTTGTTTGGTTGAGCTGAATCTGGACAAGATCGAGGTAGTGAGAAAGAATGCATCCATAAACCACCTCAAAGAGACTCTTTTTGGACAATCGATTCACCATTGAGTTTTCCTCAAACTTAGCTTGAGGAAGTACTAAATCCCATTGTTTTGGTCTCTTTCCCGATAAGCTTCAAAGAAGATTACCAAGTGTCCGATTCACAGCTTTAGTTTGACCATCCGTTTGAGGATGATATGCATTGTTGTAGTGTAAATCAATTCATAGTCCTTTCCCTAAGGCTCTCCAAAAGGGGCTGAGAAATTTGGTGTCACAGTATGATATAATCAATTGGGAATGCCATGATTCTAAGTACTTCTCGAAAGCGAGATTAGCAGCATATCAGTCATCCATTGTTTTCTTGCATGGGATAAAATAGGCCCTTTTGGAGCACTGATCAACAACCACAAAAATTGAACCCATGCCTCTTTGGGTCCTTGAATAACAAGCACAAAATCCATGCTAACATCCTCTAAGGACATAGTGTAGACTCTTGTATTTTGAGTGTGACCCTTTGAAACTTGGCAAATTTGGCATTGCTTCACATAGTGGTTCACATCTCGATGAATTCTCGGCCAATAATGCTTCACCTCCACTAAGGAAATGGTTTTGTCAAGACCAAAGTGCCCCCACCCAAACCACCGGCATGCAGCTCATTGATGATACTCCCTTGTAGAGAGCATTTGGGTATGCACAATTAAACCCATTGAAAGAGGAATCTATCATGCAGTAGGAAACTCCCTTGCTAGCCTTCCTTACATGATCTCCAAACTTCTCCAAAATCTGGGTCATTTTCTAGTAGCCCTTTTATTTCCTCAAAGCCAAGGACACGTGCACTCATAGTGATTAGCAGCATAGCACGTCTACTCAGTGTGTCCGCCAGCTGATTAAGTTGCCCACTTTTTTGCTTTAGTACAAAACTGAATTGCAACAAAGCTACCCACTTAGCATGCCTCTGATCAAGGCTACTTTGATTATTGATGTACTTGAGTGCCTCATGGTCCGAGTTCAAGGTGAACTCCTTTTGAATGAGATAGTGTCACCGATGACGTAGGGCTTGCACCGCGGCATAAAATTCCAAATCATATGTTAAGTAGTTACACTTAGCCTCATTGCGTTTTTCACTAAAAAAGGCTATTGGATGCCCTTCTTGGTTGAGTACTCCACCAACACCAATTTTTAATGCATCATTGTCTAACTCAGGGTTTTAAAAATCGGCGAGTCGCAACGGACTCTCCCGAGTCGACATGGGAATCGGGCACCCCGTGTCGATTCTTCTGCAAAACCGGGAATCATTCGATCATAGAGGAGAATCGGCGATTTTGAACAGTGAATCGCCAATATTACGCCATAAATCGCGATTCCAGCCGCTTATCGACATCACAAGGGTGCTTAATGACGTCACAGGGCGAGTCCTTACCTAAAGACATTTTGGTAATTTTTTTTCAAAATGTCATTTCAGGTTACCTATTCTCTCCATCGCGCTGGTATTAAGGCTTTTGTAAAGCTATTTATATCTTATTGACTTTCTCCAATTCTTCAATGTGGAACTTGCGCTAAGCGATTTTATATTGAAAATTTATACAATATAGGTAATTATTGTACAAAACTCTTCAGCAGCTCGTGAAGGGCTGTCGTGGTTAACAACAGAGGTTTTATGCGTGACGTCCCAAGTTCGAATCCCATTTGGGACTCCCCAAGTTCGAATCCCATTTGGGACGCTATTGTGCAAAATTCACTGTTTGCCTTCATAAATTTTTTTTTTAAAAATAAAAATTTATCATAAAAAAAAGAAGAGGATAGGTTTTTACTTTTGTCTTGAAAAAGAAACTAAAATTTGACTTCAATAAAAAAAAAAAATAAAAAAAAATAAATAGATAGGTTTTTTCTTTTGTCTTAAAAAAAAAAACTAAAAATGAAGAAAATAATAAGATAAAAGAAATTTAAAAAATAAAAAGTAATACAACAAGCAAAAAAAAAACGGTAATATAACTTACTTTTTTTTTTTGTAAAAAAAAACAAAAAAAAAAAAGTAATACAACAAATATCATATTTTCTAGTAAAAAAAAATACAACAAGTATTTCTTGTCAAAAAAAATAAAAGATATTTTTTAATACAACAAATATTTTTTAATACAAACTAGGAATAATTGATCTAATTATAATTTTTATATTTATAATTTGGTAAGCTTTAACATAAATTTAGGAATACTAATTTTAAGATATGATTCATACACATTTGAAATATTTCTGTCTCTAACAATCTTTTCCATTAAATTTATTCTAGATTTCTAAAAAATTATATTTTTAAAAATTTGAAGTGTTATTTCGAAAATTGATGCGCATTCAAATAGTTTATATATTGATAATCAAATATTTTATTTATTTATTTGCATTATAAATCTTGTAATGTATTATTTTTCTTACAGTTGTCAATAATACATTTTAAATTAAATAGTATTATAAAATATATTAAATTTGCTATTGTTTATATAATAAAATATAAACAAACAATTTTCGTTGCAGTATAGAATATTATAGTTAGATAGGTTGTAATAATTTTGGATTATAGTTAGTTAGGTTGTAATAATTTGTTTTTTTTTTTTTAGTGTATTAGGTATTCTGCCAATTTGAGATTTTAGTGGCCATTTTTTATCGATTTAATCCATTATTTATTGTAGTCTATGTATGATTATATACTTTATCCATGGTAATTTTATGTTTTTTGTTTTATGTGATACAAATTTAATGGTTAACATAAGTGCATACAGGAAAAGAACATAGTAATTATTCACAAATTGATTAATAATGTAATACCTGTATTTCTTATTGAATTCTTAAAAAATAACATTTATAATAAATTTTTATAATTTTTTTGGAATTTTTTAAAGGCTTAATAGGACCGATTCGGCCGATTCCCGATCCGGATAGCCGATTCACCGATCCGGATGGGTTTTTGAGGTGCCCGATCCAGGGCACTGATCTGTTTTTTAAACCACTGGTCTAACTCAAACACCCTATCAAAGTTAGGTATCTTCAAGGACATGCGCAGTTAAGAGTGTTTCTTTGACAAGTTGAAAGCTCGTCTCAGTGCATGATGACCATTGGAATTCTCCCTTCTTCATGCAATCAATCAAGGGTGTTGAGATGGTGCTGAAATTTGTGATAGATCTCTGATAAAATGAAGCCAATCCATGAAAAATTTGCACATCATGGGTGCTTGGATAGCCTTTGCTTTACTTTCATCCACGTGTACCCCTGTAGAGGACAAAACAAAGCCTAGGAAGACTTGGCAATTTGGCAAGAAAGAAAACTTTTTAAGATGAATATAAAGCTTTTCGCTCGTTAGGGAGGTTAACACAGCCCTTAAGTGCTTAATATGCTCTTTTGGGTCATGACTATGCACAAGGATATCATCAAAATAAACAACAAATTTACCAATGAATGGACGAAGAACCTGGTTCATCATGTGCATGAAAGTGCTAGGAGCATTGGTAAGACCAAATGGCATGACAAGCCACTCATAGACCCTCACGAGTTTTGAATTGTGCTTTCCATTCACCACCCCGCTTAATTCGAATTTGGTGGTGTCCATTTCTCAGATCAATTTTAGAAAACACTCGAGCACCCCCCAACATATCCAGCATATCATCTAACCTTGGAATTTAGAACCAATATTTGATAGTGATCCGGTCTATAGCACAACTATCAATGCACATTTGCCATATGCCATCCTTCATTGGGGTTAACAATGCCGGCACCGTGCATGGACTGATGCTTTCGCAGATAAATCCCTTGTTGAGTAGGTCTACAACATGTCAGTAAAGTTCCCCATGCTCATTTGGGCTCAAATAGTAGTGAGGCTTGTTCAACAAGTTAGCATCAGGTAGAAAATCAATTTTGTATTGAATATCCCTTAATGGGGGTAGTCTATTTGGTAGATCATCAAGGGTGATGTCCTTGAACTCTTCCAAAACGGGTACAACTCACTAGGTACACTCGTGGGTGTCACCTCTTCTTTTGCAACCGATGCAAAGATGACTCCACTCTCATCACTTTCTTTCACAAGCTTAGACCTGGTAAGCAAGTTACTACCCTCTTGGATAGATTTGAGTGCACTCTTGTCCTTGTTAGGCAAGAGCACGACCTCCACATGACTCATATGAAATGTGTAGGTGATTTGCGGCCATCATGTATGACTCACCGATCAAACTGCCATGGCCTCCCAAGAAGTATATGACATATGTCTATAGGAACGACATCACAACAATCATCTTTGTAATTTTTACCCAACAAAAAAGAAACTAAGCAGTGTTCAGTCACTTTTACCTCATTTCCCTTCTTGAACCATGCAATTCGATAGGATCTCGGGTGCGGTTCAGTTTTCAACTTCAGTTTGTCCACCATTTCCTGGGAGACAATATTCTCACGACTTCCTCATCAATAACAGTCGTGCACACCTTGCCACCTGATTTGCAACAAGTTTTGAAGATATTGGATCTCAGCCAATCCTCTCTGGAGTCCATCTTTGGATTAGTTAAAGCTCGGCAAATCACCAAGCTCTCTCCAGCATCGGGTTCTATCTCTTCCCGCGCCAAATTTGTCTCATCATCATAGGTGGAATATGCTGTATCATCTACAAACTCTTCTTCGTCTCTCTTCCACAATATTGACAAGAGTGTGAACTTATCGCCGGGGACACTTGCTATATGTTCACTTTGGCCACTCTTGAAGCAAGTAAGAGGCCAGTTAAGTTGCCTTGACTACCTTCCCTCTTGGGCCAACTCACCTCTGCTAGTTGTGGAGTTCTTTGGAAGATCGTTACTGGTCTTTCCTTCCTTGGAAGGTTCATCCTTTGAAGGTGGGTAGAAACTGCATACCTCGACATACTTCCAGGCACAGCCACGGGAAAGTTTCGCTTCAACCTTCAAAGCTAGTTGATAGGCGTTTTTGATCCATAACCAGTGCATCTCTACTTCATCACGGATCGCCAACCGCAATCCACCTACATACCTTGAAACAAGTTGTTCCTCAGTCTCTTGGATGTCATTTCGCGCCATTAGTTTGTAAAACTCCTCGGTGTATTCAGACATACTCTTTGTTTCTTGTTGAAGATTATCGAATTGTGAAAAGAACAATGTGTAATCAACTGGTAGGAATTTCTCCTTCAACCTCGATATCATTTTTGTCCAAGATGAAATCTTAGGCTTCCCTTTACTTTGACATGTCTGCTGGACTTTGTCCCACCATGCCGAAGCATATCCGTGAAGCCTAGTTGCAACAAGCTTCACACGGAGCTCCTCCGATATTTCCTTGTAATCAAAGTACTTCTCAATGGCACTCAGCCAATCAAGAAACTCTTCTGGGTGTAGCTGGCCATAGATTTCCGGTAATTCAAGTTTGATGAAGTCCTTCACGAGAAAAGGATGTGTAAATGAAGACATCACCATGCCCAAGCCTGAGCTCAGTTCTTTGATACCAAATGATGAGGCAAATTTAAGAGGTCCAGCAACTTAGTGAGAGAAAACAATTTCAAAGAGAGAGTGTAGAGAGAGAAAATGGTGGGAACCAAGCTCAACCAAAAGTTACAAGCAAATTTTAGTATTTTTTGAAAACGTTATATAATCCGAGTTCAAAATGACACACCCGAACCCTTTTATGCATGTTGTTTTAACATTTTCAATGCTCTTTAAAAGCTACCCAATTTCCTCCCAAAAAAATCCACAAGTTCCTAAGTGTATTCCCACTCCCAATTCTGGAAATTAACTTTCATTGGAACTCTCTTCCCCCATTCAAAGTTTATGGAAAGTAGTAGTCCAACTTGGACTTTTGGGTTTCTTGTTGACTATGTGGAAGGAAGAGAGGACTCACTCCTTTGAAGCATGTGAATATGGGAGATCAGCGAATTAGTTAGCTAAATGGAGATTTTATCTCACAAAGAAGTGAATGAGAACAGATACTGTACTCCGGTCTCATGCCGATAAGGTAGGATTGAGTGCATTTGGTGCGCTTCTTTGTAACTTCATTGCATGACTTTGTTTGTGTTGTAGCTTTAAGCTCCTTTTGCTATGCGCATTAAATGAAGCTTATAAAAGGAAAAAGAGAAATTAGGGCTGAAATATTATGTCCACCATCTTTAAATTGTCTTTGGTAGCAGAGCATAAATAATCTTTGGTGTTATTCAAGACCTGAATAAATTTGCGATGCAGGTGATGTTCTTGGGACGAAGAGCTTCGATCAAAGCAAGGAACTTCAAGGAAAGGAATCAGCTGATTCTAAAGGGTTGGGAAAGCTTTCAGAAAAGATTGTACCCCACATTCTTAATATGTATGTACATAATATACCTTGTGAGTAATGGGATTTGGTAGTTGTTATGGAGGGAGTTTCTTACGATTTTCATTTCATTGCAATGTATCTATATACCATTTGAATTATATAAGAATTTTCATAAGAAATTATTAGGAACCTATGCGGGGAAAAATGTACTTTGGTAAATTGTGTAAAGACAAAATGGACACACAATTCTTAACATTTTTCTAGCCATTATTGTATAAGAGAACAAATCATGTTTTCAATATATTAGATTCATCCCATTTACATACCCATTCTTCTTAGTTATTACAAAATGTTCTTTTAAACTGTCCCGTTTTGTTAAATTCGCATTCCATGTGGTTTCAGATATGGTTCGTGTGCTACTGCTTGTGATTTTGAGATTTATGCCCCAAATGCAATATTTGAAGACCCACTTTCATGTGCTCAAGGGTAACTTATTATATACACTTTGGTGCTAGATATTGCTTTTTGGATGTTAACTGTTTCCCAAGGTCTCTGTTGCAGGGTGAAGCAAATCAAATCTGCTTTCTATTCACTTTCAAAGGTTAACATTTCCTATTCTTCTTGTTTATATTCTCATATTTATGGTTTGTGCCTAGTAGACTCAATATATATATATATATATATATATATATATATATATATAGTATATGTGTGTGTGTGTGTGT